TACTCTATATTTTAACATCATTCTTAGAGACAATTGTTTAAGTATTTAACTTTTCAACAATTGTTTAAGTATTTAACTTAAACAATAGTTTTTAATAAGTAGCCCAAGACATAACTTACCTAATCAACTTGTTCAAGGTAATTATAGATACCGATTTTTATATCCATATAAAGTTGCAACGTTGCGAATAAGAACTAAGAGTTAAATCAATCAAATTAGTTTTTCATTTTTAAAAAATCTATTGCCAATAAGAGAAAAAGTAACAATAATTCTTAAAAATTAAATTGGGATTAGACAATTTCAGTTAGACAATAAGAATATCGCCGATGTAGACATATGCAAAATCTAAACCTTGTATTACCTGATTTATAAATCTTTGGAAGGTGTGTTCTGCATTGCATTAACCGAATGCTATTCAAAATTTCTAATTGACGTAGTGACAGCAGTTTTTCTAATGTCTTCTTTAGCTACAGGAATGTGATGATACGCTTAAACAGTATCTAGCTTTCTGAATATTTTCTTTTTATCAAAAAAAGATCCAATATAATGAATGTGTGATACAACACACCTGTCAGGGATGGTTGTAGCATTAAGACTGCGATAATCTGCGCAAACTCTCCATTCGTCATTTGATTTGTTGACCATATCAATGCGACTGCATCAATTGCTGCTAGATGAAAGGCAAATCCCCAATTTTATCATTTCATCGAACTCCTTTTTACAAAAGTTTCAGTTTTTTCTGGTGATAAACGACGAGTTTTGCAAAATATTGGTACACTAACTGTTGTTTGAATGTGATGCTCTATATTGTGTTTAATTTTGGTGCAAAAATTTGATTTAGTTGAGTCCACGAATTATTGAATAACTGATTTTTTTCTTTTGAAGAAATTGAAGTAACAGAAATGTTATTTTGAACACATAGTTGAAGTTAAAGCTGGATTCCACTTAAATTCTGACCATTCACCAATATTACTTACATATGGATGTTACATACTACCTACGCAACCCAAACCGACATTAACAAACCGTCTAACAGACTGAAATTATTTTAAGGCTCAGATAAATAAAAATATTGACCTATCTTACAAAATACGAAGCATTGATGACCTAGAGAGCGAAACGCATTGCTTTACGAGCTTGATTGAAAAATAGGCATGGCGCAGTTCACCCTTGCAGAATAGTAAGCAATTTGATAAGATTTATCCGCTCGAAATTTTATTTGTAGTCTGTAATAAAAGAAAACTTCGCAAAAAATGACAACAATCACGTTTATTACAAGATAAAAAAAAACCGTAATAATATCACTCAAAAACTAAAACGAGGAATCAGAAACCTTAAGAATGAAAATGTTAAGAAATATCTTACAAGCTTGACATATGACAGTAAAACTAACTATTCTCTCTGGAAAGCTATGAAAAAATATGAATGACCATTCACTCATAACCCTCCCTTAAAAAAAGATAATAATGTCCCAAGTTATTGGAAAGTTGCTGAAGTGGTGACGGTTCTAAAACCAGATAAGGACCAACATTCTCCTACTTTATATAGACCAATCTCTCTCTTGCCAGCCATAGGAAAATTGTTTGAAAAGCTCATCTATAAAAGACTTGAAAAAATAGTTTGTGAAAGGGATCTTATCCCAAATCATCAGTTTTGCACTCTGGCCTGATATGGTATATGTATAAGCTAAATACTATTCTGCCACAGCAATACTGTAAACTATTGGAATCGTATATTGGCAAAAAGTACTATCGAGTTAAACTACTTGACGCATATTCACAACTATATCTTATAAATCGCGGAGTCCCTCAGGGCAGTATACTAGGGCCATTGCTGTACCTGCTGTACACATATGATTTGCCAGTGATTTGCCCAAGGTGTATTGTCGGAACTTTTGCAGATGACATGGTAATAATGGCTACAGGTACAAACAACAAGGCATCTACCACCAAGCTACAAATCGCTCTTCAAGAAATTGAACAATGGACAAATAAATGGAAACTGCCAGTAAATAGTTCAAAATCTAATCACGTAGACTTTACTAACAAAAGAAATTTGATTTTCAAATTCTATTATTTCTAAATAGCGGAAAAATTGCAGTTGCTAATTCTGCGATGTATCTGGGAATGAGCCTAGATGCCAAACTTAGATGGAAGAGAAAATTAACTGAGCTAAATATAAGATATAAAAAGCTAACTTGACTAAATGGAAGGAGATCTAAAGTATCTCAGCAAAACAAACTTATGATTTACAAACAAGTCTTCAAGCCGGTATGGTACTATGGTGTCCAAATTTGGGGTTGTGCAAAAAAACATATAATTGATATGATGCAAAGTTTCCAAAACAAAGCACTCAGGGATGCAGTTAGCGCTCGGTAGTATGTACGAAATACTGATCTACATCATGACCTTGAAATATCTACTGTCAAGCAAGAAATTCAGAAGGCTGCTAAAACACATTATGACAGGCTGAGTCAAAACTTGAACAGCATCATTCCGGCGTTCCTTTACGATGTCACACACAGACGCTTATGCCGCTTCAAACCAAATGACCTTTTGAGGCATTTCAACCAGCAAAGATATTTCTAGCTCAGATCTATATGCTCATCTTAGTAAACTTACTTGTAATATTAATTTAAAAACCTCTGATTGTTGTTAATTTAAACTCTATATTTTGTTTACATATAATAAAAAACAACAAATAAATAAACAGGCGACCAATTTCTGGGCAATGCTCACTCGTCACTAAAGATGAGGAGCCCATCAGTTTTCTGTTTATTGTTCGCAAAGGTGCATGATTGTTCACATTTTTTTGCACTTTTAACAAATTTAAAATGGTAACAACAAAATGGATTGCTTTTATTTGGTGTTTAAAAATGTTTATTAAATTTCCTTGAGCGTGATTAATATCTTGATCTTGCTAAAGTTGATACTTGCATAGATAGTTCGTTTATTTTTTTCTCAAAAGTTTGAATATTTGATGATCGCGAGCTTATAACACTATTCATTTCAACTACTTCACTGCCACAAATTTTATTTGCCATTATCGTCAATTTGTCAGATTATAGTCACTCACCAATAAAATTGCTTTAATTTGTTCGAATTTTTCATATGTTCGAACGCTATATTCAAGTTGCAGTAGGTCAGACACGTAGTCGCCAAAGTTCCATTACAATTATGCCACGCATCCAGTCTGTGGGAAAAACTTCCGATCTCCATATTCCAATAAACAGAGGACTGAGATTATTTGCAAACAGTTGCAAATAGCATATACTTTAATTATTTCAGCCGGGATGATGTCAGCTCCGGCACTTTTAATATTCTTTAGCGACATTACAACGTCGATCAGTTCCTTTTTTTGATGGTGAATATATGTTTAATGGCAATGGTAATACACTTTATTCAGTGTAGTTTCCGTGGGCTTACGGAATTTAGTACGTTTGCAGAGTGTTCCTTCCACCTTTTATGCTGGTCTTTCACGGTAGTCTGAAGGTGACCATAGTCAGATTTATATTTAAATCAAATGTTTTAAAACGTTCTTTTGCTATTGTGGTGGGGGAGGAAGGTAGGAAGTAACAAAAGACAATTTAAATGAGAAGAGGAATAAAATCTTGAAATTGAAAAACGCCAAAAAGGATTACTTATTCTTGTGGTCGTCGGAACAAAAACTGCGTTTAAAATAAAATTCGAGTAAAATTTAAATTACAATTTAGTTGTGCTATTATGAGCTCAGCCTAAAAGTAGTCTTCAGTTTGTTAAATTTTTGAGTATTTAATTAATTAATTTACTTACTAAATGTGGTTGTTGGGAAATTAATGAGAATTATAATTGGGAAAATATGAAAACTGCACACTCTGTGGAAGCGTAACATTATATAGTATTATGTAAATTGATCTTGTATGTAATTAGAAAACGATATTGTAATGCTGAATGAGTATACAATAATTGAATTGAAAATTTGATCATGTTAAACTTTGCTGAATAATGCTTTCATTAGTATAGCAGAGGTGATAAGGATAGGTAGAAAAATATGTAAAGCAGTTCTAGTCTTATTTTGAGGGATCAGCTCCAAGCTATATTGCAACAGTGATCATGTGAAAGTCTTGAATTTTAGTTGCGATAATAGACACAACTGAACCATATTCTGTTTGTACTTTTGTGTCATAAGAAATAAATTATATTTCTAATTATAATAATTATAATTAGATACGGATAATTAGATATTTAAAAATGTTACAATGTTTGCTATTTTAATATAGGGTATTGTTTTCTGATGTTTTTTCTTAGTTCATAACTCTGGGAATTTAAACGATAACAGACTTATAATAATAAACTAACATACGAGTATAATAATATAATATAATAATACGTGTTCATGCTTGAACACTTATTAAATATCGGCAGAAAAGGAATAAAAAATAAGCAGAGTCAAGAAAACTAAACAAATGTGTACATAATTACAAATAAAAATTGTTATAAATAAATATTCTGCAAATTACGTATAATTTATAGCAAAAGACATCACCAATAAAAGAAAATTTTATATTCTTTTACATATAAAAAAATACAAAAATCACAACTTACTTTCAAACTATTTAAGCAACGCACAGACTACTATTCGAATAGTTTGAATACTTCGTTATTCGGTCTGAAACGGATTGTTTAATGTTGTTACTAATCCTGAATGCATAATAACTGCACGATTAATAATTGAATAATACTTAAGTTAAACTGATTAAATAATCATATTTTTTATTTTTTTGGATTAAATTATTCTAAAATTGTTCTGGTTTGTTTGTGTTGCAAACTTTTTAAACTTTTTGCATACAGTTCATTTACCGACGTTATAAGCTCATTTCACTGACGTCTAAATACAGGTTTGTATTTAATAAAAGTTATAATTTACGAGTCATTTTATGAATTTTCAATCGAAATGATTTGTTTTCTGTCAATTACAAAGAAATATTTAAATTTTTGTTGGCTTTCTTACAAGCGATTTTATTTGAAAAAAAAAATTAAGAGAACATTAATTTTTGTTTCAGTTACGAGAATTTTTTCATTAAATCGTATTTTGTAAAGCATTTGGCTTTATCGTTTTTAACACATTTAAGCGTTTTGCTGTCGAATAGCGTATCACCACTGCAATACATATGCTTGAATTCAATTTCATCTGACTTTTCCACACATCTATAATATCGCTTACAATCTAGATAATCTGGATATATGTCATCATCATCACAGTCCTTTTCATTTTTCAAATGTTTGACATACTTCTTGATAAGTTTCTTCAGTTCTTTAGAGTCAACTAAGTCTTTTTGTTCAGATTCAGTATTCTCTTCCTCTCTTGTTGAACTTTGATTATTCTCAGACTCAATTTTTTCCAATTTCTCAGACGAATCTAAATCACTTTTATTCAAAATTCCCTGCTGTGTTTTTGAAGCTGGAGAATTTAATTTTATTTTAATAATTTCTGCAATATATATAATATCAAATTATAGGTTATATAAATTACTTTTAATGTTATCATACCTTTAGAGTTTAACAAACTAATATCACCGCCTTCCTTAGAATATTTTTTATTGATAGAGTTTGTCAGCTTTACGGACTTTTGTTGATTAGCATAAGCTATTAAAAATACAGCCGAATTAAAAATAAAATACATCTACTTGGTATTGCAACTTACCTTTAAAAAGGTTCACTTGAAGTTTTGCTTCTTCATCCGAACTATTTTCGTCCACACCGATATTGCCATCCCAATATATATTTTGCGTCATAGTTTCGATGTTATTCTGTTTGATCGTGTGGGTGTCAGACTCAAGGCTTTCATCATCCTCCTCACTATTCGAAATCGGATCAGTAAGCACCGGTGAGGGGGGAACATGACTGCCAGCTTGTGATTGACCACCTTGACCATTCTGAACTGAGGCACTCGTTGCAGTAGTACTTGTAGAAGAATCCGTTGATGAGCCAGGAAGTTGAGTGCCAGTTTGTGTTTGACCTCCTTGACTAGTCTGAACTGAGGGATCCGTTGCAGTAGTACTTGTAGAAGAATCCGTTGATGAGCCAGGAAGTTGAATGCCAGTTTGTGTTTGACCTCCTTGACTAGTCTGAACTGAGGGATCCGTTGCAAGAGTGCTTGCAGAAGGATCCGTTGATGAGCCAGGAGGTTGAGTGTCAGTTTGTGATTGACCACCTTCACCACCTTGACCAGGCTGAATTGAGGGATCCGTTGCAGTAGAACTTGTGGAAGGATCAGTTGATGAGCCAGGAAGTTGAGTGCCAGTTTGTGATTGACCACCTTGACCACCTTGTCCAGGCTGAACTGAGGAACCCGTTGCAGTAGAACTTGTGGAAGGATCTGTTGATGAGCCAGCAAGTTGAGTGCCAGTTTGTGATTGACCACCTTGACTACCTTGACCAGGCTGAACTGAGGAACTCGTTGCAGTAGAACTTGTGGAAGGATCCGTTGATGAGCCAGGAAGTTGAGTGCCAGTTTGTGTTTGACCACCTTGATCACTTTGACCAGGCTGAATTGAGGGATCCGTTGCAGTAGTACTTGTTGAAGGATCTGTTGATGAGCCAGGAAGTTGAGTGTCAGTTTGTGTTTGACCACCTTGACTATTTTGGCCAGGCTGAACTGAGGGATCTGTTGCTGTAGTACTTGTAGAAGTATCCGTTGATGAGCCAGGAAGTTGAGTGCCAGTTTGTGATTGACCACCTTGACCACCTTGACTAGCTTGTACTGAGGGATCCGTTGCAGTAGTACTTGTAGGAGGATCTGTTGATGAGCCAGGAAGTTGAGTACCAGTTTGTGTTTGACCACCTTGACCACACTGTCCAGGCTGAACTGAGGGATTTGTTGCCGTTGATGGATCCGTTGATAAGCCAGGAAGTTGAGTGCCAGTTTGTGATTGACCACCTTGTCCAGGCTGAACTGAGGGATCCGTTGCAGTAGTACTTGTAGAAGGATCCGTTGATGAGCCAGGAAGCTGAGTGCCAGTTTGTGATTGACCACCTTGACTACCTTGACCAGGCTGAACTGAGGGATCCGTTGCAGTAGTACTTGTAGAAGGATCCGCTGATGAGCAAGGAAGTTGAGAGCTAGTTTGTGATTGACCACCTTGACTACCTTGTCCAGGCTGAACTGAAGGATCCGTTGCAGTAGTACTTGTAGAAGGATCCGTTGATAAGCCAGGAAGTTGAGTGCCAGTTTGTGTTTGACCACCATGTCCACCGTGTCCAGGTTGAACTGAGGGATCTGTTGCAGTGGTACTCATAGAAGGATCCGTTGATGAGCCAGGAAGTTGAGTGCCAGTTTGTGTCTGACCACCTTGACCACCTTGACCAGGCTGAACTGAGGGATCCGTTGCAGTAGTACTTGTAGAAGGATCTGTTGATGAGCCAGGAAGTTGAGTGCCTGTTTGACCACCTTGACTACCTTGACTAGGCTGAACTGAGAGATCCGTTGCAGTAGTACTTGTAGAAGGATCCGTTGATGAGCCAGGAAGATGAGTGCCTGTTTGTGTTTGACCACCTTGACTACCTTGGCCAGGCTGAATTGAGGGATCCGTTGCAGTAGTACTTGTAAAAGGATCCGTTGATGAGCCAGGAAGATGAGTGCCTGTTTGTGTTTGACCACCTTGACCACCTTGGCCAGGCTGAATTGAGGGATCCGTTGCAGTAGTACTTGTAAAAGGATCCGTT